TCTCCTTCATCTTCTCTCATGGGTCTCACCCGAATGCAAACACATCTAGTGCAATTGTGTTACGATGATTAAAGCTGGTGGAAGACGAATAAAACCGTTAAGTGAAGTAAACTTGTGCCGGACATGTCACACTTGCGAATATGCATGCCAAAGAGAAATGGGCTCGTGTGCAGGTGCTTGGTGAACTGGTTTTACTGCGGGGAGACCTTCATCCAGCAGTGGATCGACCATGGCTAGCTGCTGCTGCTACTGATGATGATGGTGGTGGCTGATAATGATGAACTATCCCATGGTACAAGGGCTTCATGTTGTGGATAATTGCGGATAAACACATGGCAAAAGAATGTGCAGCGGGAGGTTTTTTTTAACAACACATTAATGCTAAGTTTAAACCGAGTCGTGATCTCTAACCGGGGATGCCTTTACAAGTGCTGCGTTGTTGCTTGCCATGGCAAGTTTTGCAAGCAGCCACACAGGGCTTCCTATATATGGTCTGGCTGTGTTGCCGGACACAGTAAATATGTGTGCGTATGTCACATCCGTCACGAATGCTTTACCCCGCTCGTGTTTTCCCCGGATCTGCATAATAAATACACAGACGAGTCCTCTGTTTCACGACGACAAAGCAAAGATAACGTTTCCGTTTCTAACCCGCGATGGACTGCGTAGAACCAATGATTTGCGGTAGGTTCAGTAGGTCCGTGGACCAAATTGCTCTTATTTTTAGTTGCCGAGACGCCATAATCGGGGAATTGAAAGGGTTTATTCTCTTGCAACGCTGTTTAAATATTTATTATCTGGCTTGCCTCGCATGCAAGTGGGTCAGCTTGCTAGCCGGTGTCCAATTTTCTATCCATGGGAGGGTGTCACGTTGCATTCTGTGATTTCGTTTTAACGGGCTGTTGCCTGCATGTGAAATGCATCTGTTTAACCTACCAGGTTCGTGATGAATAATTTCACCCCGGCAAAGTGCTGGTTATTCAAATGAAAGATATATTAGAGAATTGATAATAGGATGCATAGATATGTTATGCATCCTTCCAAAAAATACTTAATAATATTGTTAGACTGCATTGGCAGCGGGGTACACAAGCACAAATAACAAAAACGGTTTTTACGTGCATCAATAACACTGCCTTTATAAAGAAAAAGTATATCCAGCAATATTCCGATTTACGTCGGGGATGCGTTCCTGAAAGGTGCAGCGTCAAATATCGAAATGACGTCAATCACAGCAATTCACAGGGGTGGTAGGTGGAGGCGAGGGTTTTGAGAGGTGACGGATACGACGATGATGCTGTCAGCGACGTGAGTGTCGGGGTTGAGGCGACGCAAATCGGGCAGCTGTGTTAATAAAGCGACGATGTATTTTCGAAACGACGTAGAAGGGGGAGACGTCAATCGGAATATGACTGTAATCGGTTGTTTCAAGCAGCGGCCCTTATCTGCTTTAAAGGTCACCATTTGGCCTGGCCCACTGATCGTACACCCCCCACTATTGCCTGAAACGTCGCCAATTATATGTATTTTTTTCGCTTAAAGCAGTGTTATTGATGAATGTTAGTTTGAGCTGTGCACAGAATAAACGTGTATTCATTCTATTTTCTTTTGTATAAACGAATTTAGGCCTCGGTCATTTTGTTTAAGTTGAGATGAGTTACTCAGTTATTTGGCAATTGGTTGACAAAGAACTGCAAAATATATTCCTTTTTAATTTATAATTGTAAGCCTGTAAAAAAAAAACGTAGTCATCTTAGCACCAACGCCAGTATTGGCCACTTAGTTACTTGGCTTATTTGAATATAACCAGGGCATTTTGTTGAACTAAAATCCGAATGATTTCTCCTACTTTCTTAACGGAATCCCAGTGATCTTTAAGGTTTTTTCTCTCTGCTCGTTTTGTAAAGAAAGAACGCCCGTTATGGTGGTGTCGCCGCCTTAACAGCTCTCGCGAGCCCCCTCATTTCCTTAGAAATCGTTGGTGAGTGATCTACGTTGTGAAATCTGGTGACGGCACGCTCTAGGAATGTTGGTCAGAGCTACAGTTCACCTCTGACATGGTTAGAATACAGCCGCTCGGCATTGTTGGAGCCATTGTGACTGCACTGCGAGCATTTCCTGCAGAGGGCGGGGGTGGGTGTCATATGAAAAACCGCACTGTCGTCAAGTATGGCAGCAGTGTGCCTGTGTCGTTAGCCAACTTATGATCCCGCTTGCTTGGGTTTGATTCCTGGCCAGCTACATTATTCTGCAATTATATTCTTGGGTCTTTCGGTAAAGTTGCGTAGAAGGGAAATAATAATATAATACAAATAAAACCTAATTAGATAGAATTATCACGACGTTTCGGCCACAACGCAAGCAGCCATCCTCATGTGGCCGAAACGTCGTGAGAATTTTATCTTATTATGTTGTATTTTTTATTATTTTATTATTTCCCTTCTACGTGACTTTACCGAAAGAACCAAAAATATGAATCCATGCAGTCACGAATGCTTTAAATCGAAATATTCTGCAATTAGTGTCCGAATTTTTGTCCACGAGAAGTTTTGCAGACACTTTAAATTAATTTTCTTCTTCACAACGCACGGTAGTTTTTAACTGTCCATTACACAACTTTGAAGATTAGTGAATGCAAAACAGTTACTTGCTTTAATGGATGTTTTGTAAATCAAATATCACAGCACTTTTAGAGAAGTTTTTATTGAGATAAAAACATGTTGATGCATAATGTCCCGGCATAACATGGTCTGCAGGTCAAAGGTTGGGGCTACTTTTGTAGAAAACCTGACCCATGAATTTAAATTATAATTTAGTTTTTTTATAAATTGCCTCTTGTATCTCGATTGTTCTGTCGGGATGATGTCATAAGATAAATAATCCATTTAGATCCCATTTCAGAGCAGTGCATCCCTTCATGTTAAAGAAGTGCATTTCACAGAGCTACCTGCGAGGTCAAGTCACTAGCAGTACTTTCCCACCCACTATGCAAATTACATTGTTCATCGCATGACCGTCAAATTCGATACTTGATTATCAGAGCTGGAATTTAGCCAAATTAAGTGCAGAACCAAGTTTAATGTAATGCTTTTTTACGTAGGCATTGGTGACCATCCTTACTTAGACCATCAACTCGCTACAATTGAGAACCCGATGTAATCACAGGTGGTTGCCTGGATTCAAACCCAGAATCTGAGCGATTTGCAGCTCGGCATTTTGACCTCTATACTCTTTGGTTCTTTCAAACTGCCTCAGCAGCAGACCATGCTTTCCCACCTGTTGACGGACGCTTGTGTTGTGCACCCGAACGTCGTGATTAATTTTATACCTTCGTGACTTTACCGAAAGAACCAGAGAGTATGGATTCCTGCAGTCACGAAAGCTTCAAATCAAGATTCTGACCTCTATTCCACTTCTTGTTATTAAATTTTGGCGATGAAATGCATATATTATGGCCCATAATATGACAAGACAGCACACAACTAAAAGCTAACAATTGTGTAGTGACTGGGAAATTTCACTGTGTGGTGCCGGGCCTGTGAGGCCACGGCGGTATGTCGACTTGTGTGTACACCCCGGACACGGGGTGTAGTACCGAGCCCTAGTGGGGGCTTGGGTGAGCGCTGGTTAAGTGCCGTTGTACCACGCACAGCTCCCGTTGACAGAGCTGAGAGAGTGTCAGCCAGCTGGGGTTACGTTTGGGGCATGACACTCTGGCTGACCTGGGGTCATGTGACCAGATGATACTGGAGGGGGGCCACCGGTGGAGGGGGCCAATGGATGGTCACATGGTCCGGGGGGAATTGTCGAGAACCTTCGGGCAAGGGGGCGAGAGAGATCGAGAAGGTGGGTGGGGCGAGAGGCGGAGCCAGCCCCAGCCCGGCCCAATATAAGGGGGGGGACCCTGTGAGGGGCTTGGGGCTTTTACTGTTGGAGAGGCAAGAGATGCACGTCAAGCTTGAAGAAGCCTCCAGCGACGCGGTCCGGGACCCAGCTTGTGGGCCGGACCGGGATAGCGGAACCGTGTCTAGTTCCGCCAGTAGCGTTGTTAGTTGGGTGGTCACCACCCGAGAGTGTTGTGCTAATAGCCTGGAGTATGTTGTGCTAATAGTTTAATAAAACGTGTTGCTCCCTAAGACAACGTCCACGACTCAGTTGGACTCGCTACAATTGTACTGGTTTGGCTAGGATAGTCCCGGGGCATTTATATAATAAATATAAATCTTACTTTTGCTCATGGGTGCAAAGGGCAAGGATACCTTAGCAGTGGGTTGAGCTGGCAGTCGAGTAGGTGGGGCCTATGAGCAGTGGGCAGGGCCAACAATAATAAGGATAGAAGGCACTCGGTGTGGGTGGAGGTAGCGATTGAGTGGGCATGGTTATTGAATAAGTGGGCGGCGCTGCTCGAGGGAGGGGCTACCAACTCCCCATGTGTCCTGGTTGAGCTTCCCGTAAAATTGATAGCTTTACGTACGACAGGTTTGTACTAAGTGATTCCTGTATTTGTCGCCGCTTTGTGAGGCTCTGCATGCCGAGTGAGAGAAATGGGAATAACCCGATCGGGTATGGAATTCCCTGCGTGTGCGTTGTTTGAAAGCTCTCTTTCTCTTCCCCGTCAACCCTATTTACCGCGCCATGGTTAACTGGCAGCCTGCCCCATTGTTGCGAAAGTGAGCCATGCACGTGTTTTATTTTATCTGCAAATAGATGTCCTGGATTAGCTGCCCGCACCTCCGATCAGCTCGGTTGGCAATGTACGACGCGAAAGAAGTTCAACAAACATGTACATACGTTTCAAACGGATGAGCTATTTTCCTTGGCTCGCAAAGTCGGGCACACACTCGGACAGTCGCGCCAGCGCATGTCGTCGGCCCTCTTCACACGTCTTGTGTTTCTTCTCCCCGTCGCCCGGGTTTATTTCCGTCGAGGCCGGCATGTGTGTGCACGCGTGCGTGTGCTCGTGTTGTTGATGTGCCACGCCATCACATCCACAGCCCTTAAAGAGCCACCGTCACCGCGTTCTATATTTAATAGGGCATCGTTCTGTCGGAGTCGCGCACACACACACACACGTGTGTGTGTATGACGGGGTTGTGTTTAACGCTGGGTCGAATCGGCCGGTACTTGGTGCCTCGCCTGGCGTCCAGGGCAACACAGGTTTGTGTTGGATACCGATCAGGACATTGTACGGCCCTGAGCTCCATAGAACAGCGCCGCTAAAGGACGTTTTAAACGAAAAATTTAGAAAAATTTTGAAACAAGCGATGCCGTGACTGTGGCTGCTTTGTATAGGAGGTGTCGTGCGGTGAATAACAACTGAAAATAATTGTCGGCAAGAAGATAAACGAGGAAGTTTGCGCGTTCGGCAGCGGTGCCAACAAAGCAAGAGGAACTCAGAAAATCAAAGCAGGGACAATGGATTGTTTACAAATCTCTTGAAATGTACGTTTCTTCTTAAGCATCAACCAATTACAGGAACCGTCGCAGGCGTGGGGTTTTTTTGTCCGCCTGCCAACCCATTTCCTAAAGATTCTTCATTTGCTTGATCTTCCTTCTCGATTTCACCGAAGAGAATTTGTCAGGAAGCGCCAGGCTCGCATCGCTTCCCCCCCCCCCCCCTTGTCTGCTTTCTGAGTTTACTTGAACCGCCTTTTGGAGATACTTTCCTGAGTTACGAGAAACTTAAATATTAAAAAAAAAACGGGGCCAGGAAAAATATTGGCCCCAACGGCAACGGTGAAGGGGCGGCCAATGAGAATGCAAGGCGGAAGGAAGTACGAGAGACTGTACCATTATTATGCAGGTATGTGATTTCTATCGCAGACAAAACCATTTATGAGGGCAGTTGGGGCGGGATTTTTTTTTTTGGTGCCCAATGGCGCACGAATGCTTTACAATTCGTTAACGTGGAGGAGAATGGTTGGCGGATCGCGCAGATAGTTTTTTGCCGAGTTTAGTGATACGTACCTTTTTAAAATGAAGGTTATGCAACTTGCATGAACAACGGCGCGATATAAGACTAATCGTTAGTATTAATATCCATTCGTATGCGTGTAGTTTCTGCGAGTTTTCTGGTTTCCTTCCACATGTTGGCTGTGATAAAGGCACTGTGCATAACATATTCGCCCACAGGGAAATGTAACATGTGGAAGGCAGTGGAACGAGTAGGTTGCTTTACCTATCAATTTGAGGCTGAGTCGTGTTCTTGTGTTTGAATGTGTTTTCTCCAGGCACTCACAAACACGTAAAACACTCCATAATTAGCCATACAATCCAAGAGAGGTCCTTAACCGAACATTGGGTTTTAATGCCAATGACATACCATGTTTTCTATTGCAAATCGTGTAAAAGGTCACTTATGTTCTGGAACTCGTACATGAGCCAGAGCGTCGTGTCATGCCCATGAACGGCACCGGAGCGTAATACCACAGATTTTTCTCCTGAAGGCACTTTCATATCGCTCTCTCTCGTGCAATGATAGGCACCCTGCTGTATCGCACATGGCTGCCAGCATTTGAACTCAGGATCTCTGGTGCCGACTCGTTGCTCTAACATGGCCATGGTGAAGCTGCAAAGCCACACACACCACTTTTGATATTTAACCATCGGTAGGTTTAATATGGCGATGTTGCCGTTGTGCAATGGTTTATCGCACTCGCCACTGGATTTGCAATTGAGAGTTTGAAACTGTGGTTGTGCCCATTTACACTGCTGGGTCGGACAAACTCAGGAGGAATTTAAGAAATGTTCCCGTTGTGGTGGAGTTACGTGCGTGTATGTCTCACCTCTTACAAGACGTCTAGCCAGTGTGGAAGAGTAGGCCTAATTCTCTCTACAGAGGTCCTCGAGAGCTTCCTCGATTGGAGGGCCCTTCTACCACCAAGCACTGGCATGAGCAAGGCATTTCTGGACTGCATCTTTTTACCTTCGACTTTTCACACATACTTTATTGTTCTTTCCCTTGCAGGTGATTATCCGCCACCCCCACCCCCTCCTCCTCCAGAGGAACCGAGCTACCGATCGGAAGTGCTAGCTGGGAACTACCCTCCGCCACCGCCGCCACCTCCACCACTCCCCGGTGCCTCTGCCACCCTCCCCGGGAGGGCCAACCCGTGGACTGACAGCATGCAGGTCGGTGCCACCCCCACCGCCCGTTGCGGCAAAGGCCCCATCCGCAAAGTGGTGCCAACTTTCGATTTAAAGCTTTCGTAACCTGTTCTCCACCTGAAGACGACTGCTTGCGTTGTGGCCGAAACGTCGTGAGAATTATTTTATTATGTTATATTTTTATTATTTTATTATTTTTCTTGTACGTGACTTTACCGAAAGAACCAAGAAGATGGTGCCAACTTTTTTTACTCGTTAGGGGGAGCTGTCTGCCTCCTGTAGGGGAAGACAGGGGAATGAAGGGATGTGGAGGTTAAAGGGTGTGATGCATTGTGTTTTGCGGTGATGTTAAGGTCGTAATAAACGGCATCTCACATTTGTAGAGCAGTTTTGTTGGCATGGCCACTGCTGTAAGAAATGAGAAGGGGGGGGTGGGGTAGATCCCTGTGAAGCCCAGCATATTGGGCCCCTCTGCCTGGCCCAGAGGTCGTAAACGGGTTTTGATTCCTTACCCGTACCCGGCCGCACCAGGGTCGCAAATGGGTACCCGTACCCGTACCCGGCCGGGTACGGGTACCCGTTCCCTACCGTACCCTACCCGAAATGAGTGACAAACGGTTACTCACCAGTGACTCACGGCCTACCCGTACCCGGCCGCACCAGGGTTGCAAACGGCTACCCATACCCGTACCCGGCCGGGTACGGGTAGCCGGGTATCGGGTAGGGTACGGGTATCGGGTACCCGGTTGCGACCTCTGGCCTGGCCTGTGGACTCCGGTGCAGTTACTCTGCCTGCATTGCACACTCACTAACGATAGCCTCTCTCTACTCCCTCCCACCCCCCCCCCCACTGTGTTGCTACCTATGGCCAAATCTCAAACATCTGATGAGCAGTAATCTGCAAGACCCATTATAAAAACGATAAATGTAATTTTCTTACCAGCGAAGTCCCCCCACCAAGTCTCAAGAGGGTTCTGAATTGGGATATTTGACCACTTACTTTTAAAGGAAGAATGCTCCACTTGAAAGGAAGCTGGAGTACCCAGGGGATAGCGCTCGCAAGGTCCGCATCGACGGGTTTCATGAACTCGCTTGCCGTGCCGCTGATGTGTTTTGGCCACCTCTCAGCGGCGCGGGTTTGGGAGTCTCGCGTGTAAATATAACCCAGCCACCCTTGCCTCCGAAGTGCTGTGTTACAGGCATGTGTCACCTCGCCCTGGCTGATTTATTTATAGATTAGCAGATTAAATGGTATGGCCTTTGGCCACTTAGCAAACCTAGTTGGCTGTTTATTTACTGCACGTTGTGGTGGTCAGTTTATTTCAGTCTAAATTCTTTATTTCTTTCGCCTAGGTGAATGCCCCACCGAGGGGGGAGGTATCTTTCACAATGGAAACGCAAGTCGGAATATAAGGGTGAACGCAGCAATTGGATACATTATAAACCATAATCGATCTACTGCTAGTTGAAGACTCACCGTGAACCTTGTCATGCCATCTCCCATCGTTCTACGACGCAGCAATCAGTTTGGCACCTGCAAACGAGCAGATCTCATCGCAGCGGAATTGTCCCCTTGGACAAATTCCTGTCGGTTTTCCGCTCCGACCGTGATTTGATTTGATCCGCCTTCCTCACGGTTGTTCAGGGCACCGCCAAGAAATCCGGCTATCGGCCCACCAGCATCGACATGGAGATCGACTCGCTCACCAACATGCTGGCGGACATGGAGAGCAACTCTCCCTTCCCATCGCGCTCGCGACCGGTACGAACTTTTATTCATTCGGTAGAATTTTGGCGTGGGTAAACTGCCACATTAGGCAGTAAATGCTCATTTTCGATGGAAGTCCTTGATACACCTTGCAGTAGTAACCTGCTCACAGCAACAACAACAATAACAAAAAATCCAAAAACATCTGTACACAGTCAAGTTCACAATGTTAAGGTCGTGCAGCAACATGATACAACTAGCACGAAAAATACGAGGCTACTGGAACGCATAACATAGTCAAAAATATCGATTTAAAGATTTCGTGACTGCAGGGATTCATCTTCTTGGTTCTTTCGGTAAAGTCACGTAGAAGGGAAGTAATAAAGTAATAAAAAGAAAACATAATAAAATCATTCTCACGACGTTTCGGCCACAACGCAAGCAGCCGTACAACGCAAGCAGCTGTCCTGAGGACGGCTGCTTGCATTGTGGCCGAAACGTCGTGAGAATGATTTTATTATGTTTTATTTTTATTATTTTATTACTTCCCTTCTACGTGACTTTACCAAAAGAACCAAGAAAATAGTCAAATATATATATAACAACTTAAAGTCCGCAAAGCAGAGCGTACAATTGCACGTGCACTTGCGAGGGAGTTTCGCAACATTTGTGCGATTCACCAACCGTTGTCGGATTACAGACGTGCATAGCCACCACTGCCCAGCTACAAACCACACTGGATGCAATGATGCATTGTCGGTTCCCTATCGTTCCGTAACCTTTTAAGTATGTTAAAGCCCCAGTGATTATGCGTAGGCAAAACCTTCCAGAAAAAAAACTGCGCTCAGCTGTGAGCTCCGTTTCAAAATAGAACGTGGGCATGTCCATTGTGAAACTTAGATTTCTTCTGAGCTATTTTATTTATAATGAGAGAGCCATGCAGGCGAAGTGGATGACACAAATGTGTGATTGTGGTGAAATATTTTGCTCGGAATAGATATCAATAACAAATTGGCCATGCCTCTGCGGTGAGATCTTACTGAAAATGTAATGATGCATCTTGAGGTCTTGTTGTATGCAAAATAGTAATAATATAATTAGACATGGAACTATTTACCCTCCCCCATGTGAGTTGACCAACGTGGTGAAGTACGGTCGACCAACCCACATGAACGACAAGACGTGGAGAGGCCATCCAGCAGCAGCGTAACGCAACGATGAAAACGATTGTTATAAATAGGCATACAAAACGCGTACATTTACACTGGCCGGGGGGGGTTACAATAGTTCTACTGTTACCAACAACTCTGACTGCGGCAGGTTTCGGGTTAAAAGTTCGCCTTCTCAGCGCTGTACTTGAAAGGGAGCCAATTCAGCTCTCAGTGGAGTTCCCAAAATCGGTTAAACATTTTCAAGGCACCGCTTATTTCAAATGTTTGCTAATAACTTCCCGGAGTTCATCGTTTTAACGTGAATTACTCATGTCCTCGCGTAGAAAATCAGGCTCGCGTTGGAATAAATTGGTCTCTTATTGTTGGTATTGTAATTTATCCAGGTAGAGTCTAGCTGGGCCGCATGTGTAACTCCGACGCAAAACGGGTCACAATTGACGAGGCGCTTTTCTGTGTCTGTGGCGGTGTTGTTATTGTTTGACCTCCCTAGACGTATTCGAACACTCTACCATCCCCACCTCCGGCCGCCGACTCCACTGCCAACACTTTACCGTCGTCCCGGCCCACCATGGCTTCCTCCTACACCCAGGCTTCTCCATCCGTGGCTGCCTCCAAGTCAACCTCGGGGCCGCCCCCCGCCTACTCGAACGGCCGCTCTGCCAGGCCCCAGCCGCAGCCGCAGCCGCAGCCTGTGGCCGCGTCGTACGCCACAGCTCCGGCACGTCCGCCCACCAACGTGCAGGTGGGGAGAGGCACGACGTGGTGCAAGCTTAGGCAGGGGGGGGGAGGGGGGAAGAGGTCAGGACGACTTGTGACATCGCAACAATGTTTGCATTATGACTGCAGGTATTGTGGTCTATGCAAATATGACTCCTCGTAAAAAAGGTATCAGTTTTGTTGCCAGATAGAAGGGTAAAAAAACAATTATCATATTTTTTACTGGCAAATGAGGTTCCAATGGTGTAAATGCTTACCGCGAGCTCTCATACTCTGATGGTGCATTGTCTTTGAGTTGTGCGCCTTTTGGCGTCATCTGGTCCAACCCATGTGAGACTAGGCTCTAAGGAAAGCTGTCTCGGGTGTGGACCAATCAACTTCAAGGACAGTGCATATCATTATCATCATCAGAGTTGTTTCTTTTTGTTTGCATTTTGACTGCTTGTGTTGTGGTCATTGCAAACATGATGCCTTGTATAAAGGTGTCAGTTTTTGTACCAGTTGAAAGGGTAAAAACCTATTACTATATTTTGCCACTGGTAAAGGAGGTCTCATAGTGTAAATGCTTACCCCGAGCTCTCAATACTCTGATGGTGCGCTGTCTTTGAGTTGTACGCCTTTTGGTGTCATCTGGTCCAACACCAATGGAGACTAGGCTCTAAGAAAAGCGGTCTCGGGTGTGGACCAATCAACTTCAAGGACAGTGCATATCATTATCATCATCAGAGTTGTTTCTTTTTGTTTGCATTTTGACTGCTTGTGTTGTGGTTATTGCAAACATGATGCCTTGTATAAAGGTGTCAGTTTTTTGTACCAGTTGAAAGGGTAAAAAACTATTACTAAATGTCGTGCCATGTTCGGTTTAAGATAATATTTCTCGTAAATTTCAGTAAATAAGAGAGTTATCATGTTGGCCGTTCAGAAATCGTACGCTTGGTCAGTAAGTTGATTGTAAACTGATAATAATTACTATCATAATATATGATGAAATTCATACTCATTAGCATCATATACATTTAAGAACATTATCTCATACTTGCCTCCGCCAAAAACCGGCGGAAATGCATTGAGTGATGATGTCATGCCGGCCTTGTTGGATGGCTGCTTGTTTTATTTTCAATTCCGTGAATGATTCGCGAAAAACATTGAGACTGGATTAACGACATGGGTTTGTGATTTAAAGAATGTGGTTTGTTTAACCAGTCAGCACTTTTATTTATGCAGCACTGTTTGCACGTCCTTGACAAAGCACACACTATGAAACATAAGTAGTATAAAATACCAGAACAGTGCAAAACAAATTGGGCATAGACATGGCGATACCGCTGGCGATACAGGCAAAGCACTCAATTAGTTTGTTTGTTGCATGCCGTGCGTTTAAACACACAATTATACTTTGTGGAATTTGGTAGTGGTGCAGTGGTTTGTACTGGAAGTACTGCAAAGCACGAATGAAATTAATTTAGAATTAACGTTTTTGGGTTAGATTGCGTTTTTTATAAATGTGTCGTAACCCTCCACCACCCGACACGGCCAATCAGTAAAAAACTGTCACCTTGACAGAAGACAAATAGTCCACTACTTTAGCCCACCAGTGTATTGAAGAGTGAATTCACAACATTTTCAATTTTTGAGTACGACGTTTCGCTGGTAATTACATCCAGCATCATCGGGCATTTTGCCAGAGTGGTAAGCCTACGTGTTAAACTGAAATTCATTTGCTCACTTCTGGGAAACTGATCTTGCAATAATTATCGTTAAAACATTCAATCGTGACAACCTTATGAGCAAGCTGCTCAGTTGCCAACGACGTGCGTCACTGGTGATGCGAACAGGTGCGCGTTGCCCAGCCCAGCCACAGCTACGTGGGCCCGGCCGCTACCGTGTACGCGCCCTCGCCCGCCCGCCAGCCCGAGCCCGCTTACTCTGCTCAGCAGCAGAGGCCAGGAGAGCCACAGGCGACGTACGGGCCCGGCCGGCCCGTGGAAGCACCCTACACTTACCGCCTGCCTCCCAGCCGGCAGGCTGAGGTTCAGCATCAGCCTCTACAGCATCAGACACAACAGCAGCAGCATCATCCGCCGCCGCCGCAACAACAACAACAGCAGCAGCAGCAGAGGCCGGGAGAAGTGCAGTCTGCCTATGGGGCGGCGAGGCCAGTGGATCCTGGCTATGGATCGCGGTACGGAGACCAGGGCCAAGGGCACACGGCCAACCGACAGCAAGCCGAGCCGGCATATGCCCCGGCGTACAACGCAGGTGACGCGCCCCCTCGCCACACAGCCTCCGGGTTCACTTTATAAACGATCTCATCTGACCTATTGTGGAATGGCCGCATATATAATCTGGATAAAAGGCTGGGCTTTCTTTTCCACGCACAAGTCACCTCTAACTATGAACAATTAACTACTTTACAAAAGAAACATTTGGAATACTCTTGGAATGCTGTTGTCATTCGGTGAAGCACCATATTCCTACCTCGTCTCACTTGATAGAATAAACGCAAATTTGTCGGCGATTGATGATCCAGCACTCCCTGTTTCACTCCAATCACCTTCCACACCGGTGGTAACTCGCATCCTTATCACGCTTCTATTGCTACTACTACTATGTTTACTTGACTCGTGTACACTTCCCATTGATTCCTCCACCCATGTTGAGGACTGACTTTACTCAATAAAAAATAAATATTAACTGTTATATGTCACACCTTCTATCGTGCTGTTCATTACTGGCCATTTGCGTCGTAATACGAAGTGGCGACATTTCCAGCGTCGTTGCGCTGCTAACGCATGCCGGGCCCCGTTGTGTGTCCGCGCGCTGCGCCTCCCTAGGTACGGCTCGATACCAGGAGCCGGGATACACGAGCAATGCAATGCCGCGCCCACCAGCAGCGCAGAACTACGCACCAAAGCAAGAGCAGGCATTTCCTTCGGCCCAGCACCAGCAGCAGCAGCAGCGTCCACCCCAGCGTCTCGACTACCAGCAGCAGCCGCCCTCCCACGGGCAAGCACCGGCGGTGGGATACCCGCCGGGTCAGCACCAGGCTTCAGCCTACTCGCAGGCTCAGGCGCCTGCCTACCACCAGCCCCCGCAGGGGCAGCTCGCCATGTCGGGGTACACGCCGGGGCAGCACCAGGCATCGGCGTACGCGCCGGCACAGCTCAAGAAAGCTTACCACTCGGACGACCTGCCACCATCGGTGCCAGGATCTGCTCAGCAAACTAGGGTGAGCGGGGTGGTTCTGTTGTGTATAATTGCCAACCTTTGCTGGGCTAAGCGGCAGGCAGCTGATTTTAAAACCTTTGTTACCAGTACAAGTTATAGATTAAAAACTTGTGTGTGCATATACTTGTATTGCGTTTTTGCTATGTATTGACACCCTGTGTGGGACACCCATTGCAAAAAAATGCCCCATCTCAAAGGATTAACCAGATGAAATATCCGAATGAATGAGATAGAGTTAAAATCTATTTAGAGGTTTATATGTGTGTCATTGGGATCATAAACTCGTTGCACTTGGAAAACCCAGTTTAATTCAAGGGTGGCATAAATTCATGCTTCAAACCCAGCATCTCGGCGGCCATGGCATTGGTGTCCTAACATGGCATGAGTGACGCGAACCACCCAGCCACCTCGGCATTGCAATAATTGAGTGCAATTGTAAACGAGCAGCATATTCTCTCAAAGCACGTGGTTGCCTCTGGTTTCTTCTGCCTGGTCTGGCCACAGGCCCACCAAAGATCTTGCCAGCGGTCATCATGCCGTGCCTCAGTGTTTGGCGTTGCTATGAGATATGTTTTTTAAATGTTTTTTCTAAACGCTACAAAGGATATCCTTTAGACAGCATGTCCAGCCAAGTTTAAAAAGCATTCAAGTTGCATTTCCACGTTGTAAACAGTTGTCAGAGTCCTCGCTGGACTTTGCACCCTTGTGGTGGGAATTGCAGCTTTGCCAGGAGTATTTATAATTTTTGGAAAATGTGTGGTGTTCGTTGAACACCAAATTCAATTGGTAACACCGCGTCCACTCGTGCTCCATTGTAGCCGCCCAGTGACCACCTGTTTTGTTTTTAGCAGCTCCAAAGTGAAAGGAGTTGCATTTTTGAACCCATCTGCCCTCTTCAGTACCACGAAACTCATAGGAACTGGTGGTGGGGGGGGAGACGTGTGTCAAAACGCACTCTCTCTTTAGCAGGAAATCTCAAAAAAACACTTTGTCTGCATTTCCCGAAACAATCCATGCACACATAGATGGGCTCTGCGTTGCTCATGTACGCGTGCGTCCTTCAGCTTGCCGGCGCTCACAATTATACAGCGCTGGCGGCTTTAATTAACCCAGGTTAACCTGCCTGATGCTACCCCCCCCCCCCCCCCACGGGTTGGGGAAAAAAACAGGGCGAAAGCCAGGGCTGTAGCCTCGTTGGCAAGTTGAATATTTAACCCCATAATTGCGGTGCATATTTTCTGTTCTCGTTGTTCTCGTCATCAAGGTGGCATTTATCAAACTGTTTGGTAGTTATGTCCGTGGTTTTTAACCTGGGGGCCACAATCGTAACAAGTAGGCAACAATGTATTGGTCAACATGCATTGCGAGCGAATAGTATGCTTGGAGAACATGCATCGAATAAATCGGGTAAGAATGAATTGTTGACATTTAATTCAAGTTCAGTGCAAATAATATGCGTATGTTACATATGGGCGATTGCATTGAATTGAACAAGACGGTGGGAATAACTAACTTTTTTTTATTTGCACATGGCCGTGAATCAAGTGACCACTTATCACTAGAGCAGGGTTGGATGCAACCTTTTTCTCACTGAGCAGTGAGCAGGAGGACGTACTTGCGGACGCATTCGCTTTATCTGGAAATTTAGCAAAATATAATTTAGGGCTTCCCTTTTACCGGCCTAATGCTGTGCCTGCGCGTATTTTACCTCTCACTAACGCATCGGGTCGCAGTTCCCAAGTTGTACGCCCTACTTGGGCGCTTGCAGTGAAGGTGAACATAATTTGCCATCCACTTCCAAGTTGCGGGCCTCGTGGTCGCACAAAATCAAATCGCAGCCCATGCACCGTAGGCTTCCTCACCCATTGATTACAGTCGCCCTGAGGACAAGATTGCGCTCACAGCTCCAACGTTCGTTACGCAGACTCTACTGGTGCAAGGTGGCGGCGGCGGAGGCGGGGCGCCGACGATGGGGGTGTCCGGCCTAGAGGACGAGGTGGACCGGCTCACCAAGAAGATGCTGCACGACATGAACAACCCGCCGTCCGAGGAGTACTTTGGTGAGTGTCCTCGCTGCCGGTAATCCCGACGCGTGTTGTCGCTTTGTGCCCCGCCGCGCTGAGCCAGCCGTCGTTTCACAGACACGACATTCATATGAAAGGCTCCCAGATTGGTCCGCGTTCACGTCTAACTGCACGTGTGGTGGCCGGTGGCCAGTGTCCTGGCCAATTTCTCTCCGTCCGCCCCATTTACAACAAGAGGCACTAGTTTTTGCCCGAAATAATAAAATGGTGAAACTGTAAAGCTTTGTGACCTTTTGAAATGCTGTTTTAGAGCTTTCACATTAATTTCCACGTGAATGTAACAATCATGTGCTTAGGCCACCAACTACAAGCTTTTGGCATTTAGCCCACATCCACATTGTGAATTGCCTTTTACTTAAGCACACACTTAAAGCAGAATTTGTGTGATTCACTTTCCAAATACCGTTTTTCTTAGGCAAAAACGAAGTAGATTTGTTATTTTTGTACAAAATGTAATTAACATCTGTGCATAGGCAAACGCAATGTTTGACAGCCAAATGCTGATTATATCTTTCGTATTTGGAATTGGCAGGAAACAATGATGCTGCTGTGAATTGTCGAATTAGTTGCGCAAAAGTTTCTCGCTTTTGCCACAATTTATGTTGAAGGTTCTGGCATGGGACCAGTACACGACTGTGCTCTTCCTCTGTCGGAGAAAGAAAACAAAAATGTGCTTCCCGGAATAATTTATCTTCGAGTGGGCGAGCGGCGTTGTGTGGGGGGAGGAGCATATGAACCACATTACTCTTTACACGTACGTGCGTGCAACTGGCATTCAAAACGGTAATTTAAGTAAACAAACGTTTTTTTTACATCTTTTGGATGTGTATCTAGGCTGTGTCCCCCTCCCCGTGCTCTCTGGCATGAGTGTAAGTCTTCATTAAATCGTAAAATTATAAAAATACTGGGGAATTATTTTGCGTCGGCATTTCTAGCATCGCACTTTGTCAATTGCATCAATTCGTCGAATTGATGCAATGTGTGAATCGTCACACCGCTAATTTTTTAACAGAGCAACCCCAGTCACATTAGTACGATTGTGAGCATTACACTGAGCTTGCATTAACGTGGTGCTTTTTTTGGTGAATCATAATTTTGCTATTGTGTTCGACTGACTCTTGAGTGTTCTGTCCGGAGTTTCCTTGCATTGCATAGCCCGTTGGATCTTCGTTGGTGCAGTTACGCCACCTGCTGTTGCTGTTGCTTGTTCAGTCTGAGGTGCTATTTTTTTAATCGGTAGAAAACTGGTCTTTATCGTTCCAGACGTCATCCTTGTCACATTCACAGTTTTCATCATCAATGGGGTTTTTTTAATTTTTTGTAATATTTCTATGCCTTTTTTTCCTGCTTCTGGTCACGATACCAATGTTTTTGGTGAGTGTGTGTCATAATTGGTCAGTGAAAAGGCCTACGTTGAACAACAGGAAATGTTATATCCGTACATATACTGAACTTCAGCACTAGAGGTTCTGCACTTGCAAAATGTATGGGGGGGACGGGGGGGAGGGTAAGTGGGGAGGGTAAGTGGGGAGGGGGGGAGGGTCAGTGGGGAGGGGGAGGGTAAGTAGGGAGGGGGGAGGGTAAGTGGGGAGGGGTAAGTAGGGAGGGGGGGTAAGTGGGGGGGGGGTAATTTGGGGGTGGGGGTTAGTGGGGGGGGGGGGTAAGTGGGGGGGGGGTAAGTGGGGGGGGGGGGGGTAAGTGGGGGTGAGTGAGGGGGGGTTAGAAGAGAGAGTGAACGTGCTGCGCTGTAAAAACAGCGGCGACCCAAATTTGATTCCTGCCGACGGCTATCATCGGCGACAAGTGGTCTCAGAAACAGTTCCTGGTACCCTTCGCCAACCGGCACCGAACATCGTGGTGAAATATGGCTAAACACCTCCCATGACTGATTTGGAGAAGTCTTCAACCAGCAGTCAATTGACAATGTTATGAATTGCCATGATTCTTGGTTGCTGTTGGATTCGAACAAGGATGTTATATTTTATCTTGCTTTCCCAATCTCATTACCATTGTTTCTCATTTTTTTCTGTCTTATTTGTACAGTTGATTCCGTTTTGTCTTAACGTAACATTTAACTGTTCACAAACACATTGTGGACAGGGGCCCCTTGTATACGCTTCCTGGTGGGATGCTCCAAGTGCATTCCATATCCATTGATGTATTGTGAGCCTAGAGAATGGATTTGCATAGCTACCGCAGAGACTAAAAAAACAGGCCTCCAGGCACAGGCTTTCATTGGCACTTCAAATCTATCCTTACAAAGTCGTAAATTTTTGCTGTCCAATTTGACGTCCACCCCCCCCCCCCCATGTCTATCAGTGTTTTGCACAAGAATACACTCTCTAGCGTTCAAAACTGAATTGCGTTATTTTCTACAATTAGTTTTGTGTCCGTGCCTGGCTGATTTTTATTTCAAATGTATTCGGCCTTGGCCTAATGTCATAACGTTTTAACAGAGCTGCCTTGGCCAAAGCGTGGTCCTAAAGTGTGAGCTTCTGTGCGTGCCAAACGTGTGCGCAGGCAGGAAGCGCATGCCATGCGTGGGTGGATCGGTGGACGAGAGTGAAAGTCTTGCTTTAGTATTGCTCTCCACTCCATCTCAATCGAGCTTAACAATTGGCACTTTTTGTAAACCGAGGGTTAGGGGGAATTGCAATTTTAAGTCCCGGGAGGATGGGAATTTTTCAGCATTGTGTTTCTTTTTCACGGCCAAAAGAATTTTCCTGCCCTTATTATATAATTGTATTTGCTGTTTAACGTTTTCATTTTCTTTTTTGTCACGAATGATTTATTCTTAAACAGCCTTAGAAAAATATCTTCTCCCACGTGCGTGCTTGGGTGCTTGTGGGCACGTGTACTTACGGGTTTTGACGATCATCCGTTGAGCAACCGCAGTGATGTGGCTTTGTACTTTTCACGGCCACTAACTGGCTTCGGTGCTGCCGTCCGTTGACTCCATAACAGTCTAGGAGGCTGAAAGCGCAGCGGTCGTGGTCTGTTGTGTTGTGTGCGCGTGGCAGGCAAACATCACAACCAACACTTGCCCCGATAGTCTAGGAGGCTGACGGCAGCGGTCGTGGATCCCCGCTGTGTTGTGTGTGTGTGCGCGTGGCAGGCAAGTGCGCGCGGTGCGGCGAGAACGTGGTCGGGGACGGCAACGGCTGCACGGCCATGGAGCAGGTCTTCCACGTCGACTGCTTCACCTGCCTGACGTGCAACGCTCGCCTCCGTGGGCAGCCCTTCTACGCCGTCGAGGGGAAGGCGTACTGCGAGGGATGCTACATCGTACGATGCGCACACGCGCACGCACTCGTGACACGCAAAAAAAACACAAGGGACAACGATTCCCCCGTTTATAACCTTAACAGACTGTTGGGGGAAATGCTGTTAGCGAGCACTTTTGAAGGCTGGCACGGCACGCGAAGGGATGGGTGGCCAGTATCACGCCTGGCTGCCTTTATCTTCCAAGTGGCGATGTTTACACACAGCACCAGACACTCATTTCAGGCTTAGTCGACCCTAGGGGAGGCCCAAGACCGGTTCAGATAATCGTCACTGGTGTTGGCTGTGAGCAGGAATCGAACTCGGGTCGCCGGGTTCGAAGCGCAGCGCGCTAAGCACTGACCACAGCGCCACAGCCCCCCACTCATGCACATGCGCATGCACACGACAATGATTGTCGATAATTATGGTCATCGCGATCTCGGTGACGGTCTTTTTCATTCATTCACCGTTCGTCATTGGCAGGGTTTCATCATCATCATCATCTTCACATCAGCATTCCCCTCTATCATTGTGATAACGATGATATTGACAACTTACCGTGAACTAATTAAAATGTTAAGCTATCACTCAAACATCCTGCCACAATGAACTCAAAATTAAAATAACACAGCAGGAGAATGTGCTGCCAGTGGTATATGATACTGACTACCCTCCCCCACCCCGCCTCGCTCGCAGGGTTTGGTGTTTGAACTTCATGGAAACGCATTTCTGCGAATCTATGAAGTAATTGTGTTCGAACAACGCACGGCAAGTGCGGCTGGTTCCTTCACAAATAGAAAATGAAAGCGTCGGCCTCGTGTGAATGTGGTGAGCTCCGATCGGTTCATCACAGACCACAACCCACTGCCCGTGAAAGAAAGTATTTGCTGCTGCTGCTGTGCTGGCAGTGGTGCACATATATCAACAAACAACTCGACGAACTCGTCAATGGAACTGTGGCCTTACAAGGAAAATATATAATAAGCATCGTTTTGGGCAATGGGCCAATCTAAGAACAATGGCATGAAGAAGGTCCATTGCCTTGCATATATTTCTCCATTCAAGGCACTGCCCATTCTACGTTTACATGGGAGATACGGACGCTGCACGTGAAGCAACGTCTGATGCAATCAAGTGTATTATCAGACTCGACATACAGTTGTAATGTTCAATCGGTTGCTCTTCAAATTCGGGACGAAGAGACCGACAGACAGACATGTGTGATTCCACTGACCACGAACCCTGCTTTGTCCATCCCGCACTTTCCGTCCGCTTGGCAGAACATGTTGGAACGCTGCTCGGTGTGCTCCCAGCCCATCATGGACCGCATCCTGCGCGCCACGGGCAAGGCCTACCACCCGCAGTGCTTCACCTGCGTAGTTTGCCGCAAGAGCCTGGACGGCGTGCCCTTCACCGTCGACGCCACCAACCAGATCCACTGCATCGAGGACTTCCACAGGCGAGTGGGCCCAGCAGCGACGGGCACACGCTGTGTGCGAGTGTGTGTGTGTGTGTGGTAGTGGGGAGCGCACTGAACCCGGCGAGCCCTAGGTCGACTCGGCCTCAAATGAGTACCTGAGACAAAGGTAGCCGGGTGTGGTGCTGAGCACCTACCCTCTTGTATGCCGTGCCGGCCTTCATAGATGCCTTCTAACGGCGCTTGCCCCAACAATCTGCTGAGGCTACACGGGGGATCTTTGTCTTTGTGGCAAGGGTGGCGCAGTGGTGGTGGTAACGCTCGTGCCTCACAGAAAAAATGGCGCGCGGGTTCGATGTCCGACTGGTGCCTGTTCTGCGTGGGATTTGTATGTTCTTTCTGCCTGTATGGGTTTCCCTCCGGGTTCTCCGGTTTAATCCCATCGCTGAAAAAATAACCCATAAACAATCTACCTGGTTTCGGCCAAAGTATCCCAATGCTGAAGAAGTGACCTGAAATGACCTCTTGCGATTAGACATGGCAACCTTGCTCCCTCTCGAGCTTGGCAGGACCCCCCTTAAAAAAATAAAGTCTTGAGGCTCAGTGAGTCTTTTGTAAAAAATAAAAAGGCATAAATAATGTATGTGTCTCATCCTCACATTAGTTAAGAGCTAGATTGGACATAGACTGGCATTGTGGGACATCACGATTGGATGTTGGGATATCTCCTTAGGGAATAGAGGAGAAATGAAGAAGTTAGAGGCTCAAGAGGGGCGTTACTCATTCTATAGGTCAGGAAGGTGAGACTTTTACGGTTTGGTCACGTGTTGAGAAGACACAAAGAAGAAGATGCTATGAGGGGGGTTATGGAGATTAAGAGACCCGCAGTAAGGCTTGCAAAGGAACCCATCGGCTCACAATAGCAACCCATATACTGGAAGAGATGCAGGGCAGAAAGTGTGGAGGGAGATGGAGGGTGGCATGGGAGGATGCGGTGGAATGAGGTAAGAGGGGACGGTGGGACGTGACCAGAGAAGAGTCGCAGAATAGAAAGATTGTGGAGAAAGAAATTCCAAGTAGCAAATGAGACTTCGAGCTTCGAAGAAGAGGAAGGTGACTTGAGATGAGCTGACGCTGCCCCCTGTGGTCTGGAATGACCTCCCCCCTGCATCTGACCAAGTCCCGGCTAAATCAACATCTTCCTCTTACTCTAGGCCAGGGGTCGGCAACCAAAATAACAAGAAGAGCCATTTCTTTCCAATTCGGTACAAAATTCAGTATTTCAAGAGCCGCAATGCATCTGAGTACATACGTACTCATCGTCAAGAAGCAGCCCGTAAAGAGCCGCATGCGGCTCCGGAGCCGTAGGTTGCCAACCCCTGCTCTAGGCCTAGGACCGGTCTCATTGTGAAGCGTCTTTCCATAAAAGTAAATATATTCTAGCCATCTGTGTTTATTTAATGTGCATGTACTAGGTGTGCGAGTTTTCCCACCGGAAATGTATATATTTTTTTATGAGGACCGCTTTCCCGGATGTGTCAAAGTGTCTGCCGTTATCTTTTAATTACTGAATATTTGTTCATAGCATTTGTAGTTGTGTATTTATTTATTTATCGCGCAGTTGCTGTGCAAAGGTCAAAAGGTCCCAAACATCAAGTGACAAGCAACAAACGGCAACGATCAAAGTTGTAGTAGATGAATAAGTGTATCACGTTTCTTGGATTTGGCAAGGTTATACACGAGCTTGGGAGAAGAGAGATGATGAGAAGGAATACAATTTGCGGTTTGGAGAGCTCATTTTGTTTCTATAGCATTGGCTGCAAACCGGAGGCTTTGTGGGTCCATTTTAAAGAAAGACGTGCACAGGGCTGTCTTGTGTATATAATTACCTAGACTGTGTCCTGGCTTTGAAATTATACTTCACTGAAAAATTGTGCATTAAAGTTCCAATCAAGTGTCCCATTGTGGCACTCTGGTGACATCACTCTCGTATGGTCTAACACGCGGGCCACTGCAAGTAACATTACTGAAGTGCACTTCGTTAATGGAAAAAATACACTTGAACCTATTAGTTTTCTTCCTTTTCAACCTCGTAATAACCGGTGCCCTACAAGGCTGCACGATAAGTGCCTAAGTACGGACCCTCGATTCCAGAATTCACATCATGCAGTTTGCCCAAATTGCCATGTGTCATTCCGCATCTCTACGATGTTTTCAGAGCGCTTTTTATCCGAATGAACCTCGAGTTTTTCTTTGTGGCGCTGGCATCGGTTGCCGTATTTTACCAATGCTGTTGCGCCACCTGCTGTTGCTCTTGTTTAGTTCACAAATTCTGAGATTGCTTCTAAAAAATGTGCGTCTTTCATCTTCAGTGGTCATCATCACCACGTTTGCTACATTCATCGCGATTGCTTTATTTGTTATTTTTTTCACGCTTTTTTTTTGCCGGGGAGAGTGATTTCGTTCACAAATAACAAAGCGACCAGAACGTTTCTTTGTAAACGTGCACTTTGTTTCCACTAAGTCCAACTTTGCTTGAACCGATCATGGAATAGTTCATCCGATTTTAAAGTTGGCGGAGCGGCAGGCGCAGCGGTCGGCACACCACCCCGCAAGCCTGGCGACCCGAGTTTGGTTCCCCGCCACGGCCAAGGAGCAGTGACGCGCGATATCCGAACAGGCGTTATATTGGCCGCCCCCTTTACCAACCTGCACTCACCATTGTGGTGAGGTACGGTCAAACAATCGGCCACGATCAACGCTGTGTGGACTGGCTTTCATTCAGTCGTGGACTGACACATAGTCGATGCGCCAGAGACGATATCAATACCCCCCTCCCCACCTTAGGTAGCAGAACTTTTCGTCATACCGATTTATTTATATGGCTAATAAAAATTAATTACTTAACCCCCCACTCATTTCAAATGGTTATCACATTATGCACTATTGTTGGCCACGTGAATAAATTGTAACTGATAAAGCTATGCTACTTCACGTGGTACTGACAAGTGTGATGTCTGGGCTCATGGACTATGTTGAAATGGAGCTCCTAGTTTATTTTCGCGTGCTTTGTCTTTACGTTTGTGACCCCCCCCCCCCCCCCCCCCCTACAGGAAGTTTGCACCACGCTGCTCGGTGTGCCAGCACCCCATCATGCCGGAGCCGGGCCAGGAGGAGACTGTGCGCATCGTGGCGCTAGACCGCAGCTTCCACGTGCACTGCTACAAGTGTGAGGTGCGCTGCAACGAGTGTGCGTGCGCTGGTATAGTGGGGAGCGGCAGTGGAGTGCTTGGCACGCTGCACTACGAAACCGGCGACCCGGGTTCGATTCCCGCTCACGGCCACAACCAATGACAATTATGTGAACCGGTCCTGGGCCTCCTCGAGGTCGACTCGACCTCAGACGAGTACCTGGTGCGGTGTGTAAACATCGCCACTGGGGAGACGAAGGCGGCCAGGCGTGGTGCTGGCCACCCACCCCCTCGTGTGCTGTGCCGGCCTTCATAGGTGCTCGCTAACAGCACTTGCCCCAACAGTCTGTTAAAGGTTAATGACAATCGGAAGCGGTAGTGTAGTGGTTTGTGTACTACCGCTACAAACCCGGTGACCCGAGATTAGTTCTCGCTCATGGCCAATAACAGTGGCGAATATTTGAATCGGGCCTGGGGTCCTCCCCTAGATCGACTCGGCCTTAATTGAGTACTTGGTGTGGTATGAAAACATCGGGGTTGGGGAGATAAAGGCGGCCGGGCGTGGTACTGGCCACACCACCACACCGTGTGCCATGCCAAGATGTGGTTTGTGTGGCTCGCTTAACAACACTTGTCCCATCAATATTCTAGGCTTCCTTGACCTCTTGTGAATAGGTGTCCAGTGAACTCCCCATAATCCCACACCACGCACGTCTCACTTCCCCCCCCCCCCCCATCGTCCCACCCTTTGCCTCTTTTCCTGTCGCCGCGCAGGACTGTGGCCTCGTGCTGTCGTCGGAGAGCGAGGGGCGCGGTTGCTACCCGCTCGACTCGCACATCCTGTGCCGCAACTGCAACGGTCGCCGCATCCAGGCCCTGTCTGCCAACATCACCACCGACCTCTGACCGACCTACGCTCATTTGCATGAGCTGCCTCCACATCGCCCACCTTGCCCGCTCGTCAACCAACCCTTTCCACCGACCAAACCCACCTTCATGTCTACCCTACCCAACCTATCCAACCACCGAGCCACTTATTTCTCCACTGAGCTACCCACCTTCCAACCTACCCAACCACTTACCCACCAACCTACCCAACGACTCACCCATCTACCCAACCACCCACTCACCTACCAAATCATCACACTGCTGACCTACCCACCCTCCCACCTATTCCACCCGTCCTTACCAACCAACCACCCACCTACCTAACCACCCATCGACTGGGCATGTAGCGAGGCATTCAAATAGATTCTTACATTCGTGACATGCATCGAAATGTGCCACTAGAGGCGCCGCATCAACCTCGGTGTAAAAAAGGAATTAATCGTGATCCCAAATTGTGATGGCGCATCGAATTGTTGGGGGCGGAAAGTAGTTTTCGTGAAATGAACGTGTCGTTTGCGTGAATCGTACAAAACAAGCGATTTCTTTTACGTGCGGGTTTCGACGCAACGTATCGTGAGCAAGATCTGTATTAATCTCAGAATCGTCGCAAGCCTATTCTGAAAGCACGACACAAGCACGCAACACATTTATCCTACAGGCTGTTGTGTGTTGTTGGCGAGTACCTATTACGGCTTCCGCATTGCACAACTCGTTGGTGAGCATCACCCAACACACAGCCACCTTTGTCTCACCACTCCCCAGCACACGTGTCGGACCGCACATTGCACCTAGCACTCGTTTTACGTTTGAGTCGACCTATTTGTAGGCCGGGCCAGATTGCGATATAAATTTCCAACGGTGTGTACGGGCGGGATCATCGTGCTGTGTGTGTGTGTGGTGAACACATTGACGGCAATCCTTGAAGGACATTGGCAACCTTCGACGGCAGTAGTTGCCGCACCACTTTCTATTGCTGCTTGGGAAGAACTGTCAACGCTATGCTATTGCCACACACACACAGAGGCTCCAGTTGCGCATAGTGAATGCATTGGTAGTGAAGATTACCAGCAACAGTTGCTATAAAACTGCCCTGGTGTATCTTTTTTTTTTTCAATCGGTTCATCTGTGTACGCTCATGAATGCACAAAGAATTCTGTAGTGGAGAGTCTTCTTTTTTTTTTACTGCGTAACACAACGGCACAACTAGTGTCGTGCTTGAGTCCGTGTCGTCCTCAGCCATATAATGAGAAATAGGCAATCAATTATGCTACTTCGCCCTGCTATTTCAAGCATTCTGTGCCCTCGGAGCACAGGGATAATTTTTTTATTATTATCACAAGCTGCGACGTGCCCAGTAGCACGTTACATTTGCGCGTGTGAAATCGCAAAAAACGAATGATTCATTCGGTTTATTGCCACGCGCGCGCACACGCGCGTGGTTCTTGTGGACGGAGAAAACGCTTTTGGGAGTGGCGTGAACACGGATTGACGGCTTGACGAGGTGAATCATTTGAGCTCCGCTGGCTCTCCGCCGCCGGCCAGCCATGTTCTGCACAACTTTGGGGGGGAAAAAAGACATCGTCACATATTTAGTCTATAAACAGCGGAGAGAGAGTAAATTGTGTCATCGCCTGTTGGTATAAAATTGCTTGACTTCGCGCGCGTTTTAGAGGTGGTGGATTGTCCGGTTATATTGCAGCCTTTATCGATTTAAATACGAAGGCTGAGTGAACATGGGTAAGAGGAATAAAAGTGCCTTCCATGATGCATGCTTTATATAAAAAAAATGGTTTAATCATCTTAAGATTTTGATGGCCTGAATTGGGGGGGGGGGGTGGGGGCTTTGCGTAGAGATAGCGGCCCTGCTAAATAAAGTACACTGCGTGTAATCGTGAACATTGTTGCGTTGAAGAGCAATATTATATAAAAAAAAATTGAAACAATAAAAATCCTAATGCAATAATGTGCAAATATAACTTGATATAGGTATAATGCTGTGCAAGTTTTTTTTTTTTACTATGTTACAAATATCGGTTAACTATAGCCTTAATACAAAACGGCCGCTTGGGTTGCTGGCTCAGTAGGGCTTTGCGTGGTGGTGATCACAAAGTGTGTGGCCTGATGCAGGAGCAGTGCTGCCACATTGGATGGATGTGCGGTGAAAAGTCCCTTTCAACATTTTCAAAGCAAATTGATTGACTCTGCGGTCTTCACATTTGTATGTTAACTGCAAAAAATGGAGAAGAAATTAATAAATAAAACGCTGGGATCTTGCAGAAACCCTTTTATTCACCAGACCTTGGATCCCTGTCGCTACCCACATTTTCCACCCACGTGATAAATATTTTCCGCAGTTCAAATCATTTTCTTGCTGGGGAAAGCGGTTGTATTGATGAGGTGGATGCGTCGTTTGAGAAGCAACACGGAGTTGACATCGGCAGGGAATTCAATCATTGGGATCGTCCATGATGGACCCAAGTGCATTACACTGCATAGAAAACGAAAGTTTTAACCAGTGGTGTAGAGTAGCGTGGTTCGCATGGGCCCTGGTGCAATGATTGTAATGTGTGCGGGGGGTGCCTACGTTCAATTTCCGCTGTGTAGCCTGGTGTCTGGGCCCCGGACACGCAATCGCCATCCCACTGCATTCAACGAGCTCCTTCACTGCTTTGTACATCCGGCCACACGGACTTTCTCATCGCCCTTTGTATTGCCAAGGGCACCAGTGGAAGGAGCCACGTGCCGGTGTTGTACCTTCACGTGTAGACGTTCGCACGAAGGCAGCGACATTGCGCGGTGACGCCCGTTGCGTCCTGCGATTCAAGGTTACTACAGGGTAGCTTTTGTTTGTTTAAATGAGAGGAAAACTTGTTTAGATGCGTCTGCATGCATCGGCTGCAGATACACACATTTACCTCTCTTTCCATTGTAAAGCCGCGCTGTGCCGTGGGCCGTGCCGAGCCAGCGCGGCTCGGGAGGAGCCCGGTTGTTTTTCCACTGCGGGAAGACGAGCTGTGTCGCCGAAGTCGCACGCAGTGTGTGATGTCGGAGACGCGCCGCGCGGGTGAAGCGGTGACGGCTGTGTCCTTCGGGTCTGCTGGCTTGCATCATGCACCGTTGAAAATGATTGACCCCCCCCCACCCACCCTTCATCCAGAGCCACATTCGGATGTGGGTTTTTTTTGTTTCGGGCTGGCGTAGAACGGTTTGGTTCCAGGCTCGGCTCTGTATATAGCCAGTGGAAATCCACCCGTGTACCGCGAGCACTCCGCACTGGTCCGGCTCCGATGTGCCAGTGGAAAAGGGGAATTTATCGCCACTTTCCTCTAGCATAGCTTGCGTTGCGGAAAAGCCTCGTGGCCGTGATTTTTAGGATGGAAGCTTTTTGGATTTTTGAATGTTTACCTACATTGGTGTTTGTTCCCCCCCCTCCTCCTCCGCTAGGCTATGATTGTCCTAAATGCGCTTCATTGTAATCTATGCAGTTTGTTATGCAATATTGAATTGTAGTTGACTTGTGTAAGTTTCGAACGGGGGTTAAAAAGTGCAAATGTGAATGAATATGGGTTCATGATTTAATGAATTAACTGAATTGGGTGGTGATGATGATGGCACGACTTGCTTTAATTCCAATAAACGAGCAAAGTAAAAGACGGCTTAAGAAAATTGGCTACCGATGTGGATTTTGTATTGACCACAGATTGGCTACCAGTGCCTTCATTTCACGCCTGTTGCGTTACAATCGGCACTTTTGTGTGTACCACTGTGGCTGATGGTTGGCACCTCTTCCACAAAACCAAACTCCGCGCACATATGTCTCTGGAATAAAGTTCGACGCAATTGCCACCAGATTTCAGTACCCGATACACGGATGCCTATTCGCAAACTGTCCGGGTCAAGCCCAGACATGTGGCTACACCAGCTGCATATGCTCAACAATTCTGCTAGGCACCGGAGGTGCAACTATGGGGTGTGTGTGGCAGAGTTGTAACGCATATGTGGCCCAGTTGGCCACAAGGGGGGGGGCTACGAATCAACATAAGTAAGAAAAATTAAGAAAAAAAATTCCAACAGTTAACCATAAATGCCCAAAAAATACATTGTTACAAATGAACCAAAAATTTATTTTTGAAAAACAGCGTAAATATAGTCGCGCTGCTGATGGTGTGTTACTGAGCACCAGGCTGTTATGCGAACTGACATGCTCATGACAACGAGACGCATGATAACTAACTTGTGATTATTGTACCCTTAAATATTGTATTAATACTGCCAATGTGAGACTGTCTTTCCTACAAACCCAATACACGATGCAACTAAAATAATATATCTAATTATAGCCGTCATTGTATACGGCTTTTAAATAATCCGTAGCGATTTCGGTAAAAGAGAGTCGTCATGAGAAAGGATGGGTGGGGGGGGCACAATCGTATCTTGAATAGCCCCCGTTGAACTTGTATCGTGCCCACCAGGGGCGCAAGGACCTGACTCGGTTAAGCAGAGCTGAAGTCTCGTGTTGGGAATTTCTGTACGATCTGTGGCGGGTTACTCAAAACCACTCGCTCAAATCCAGTCTTGGTTTTAAATGTTACTGTGCTGTGTACGGCAGAGGTCGCAAACGGGTTTTGATTCCTTACCCGTACCCGGCCGCACCAGGGTCGCAAACGGGTACCCGTACCCGGCCGTACCCTACCCATACCCGGCCGGGTACGGGTAGGGTACGGGTATCGGGTACCTGATTGCGACCTCTGGGATGAAGCCATGTTGCAGGCGCGGGTGGGTTGATTCTAGGAACTGGAATTGTGAGAAGAGACAAGACGTTGGGAAATGAGTGACAAACAGTTACTCACCAGTGACTCACGGCCTACCTGTACCCGGCCGCACCAGGGTCGCAAACGGGTACGGGTAGCCGGGTATCGGGTAGGGTACGGGTATCGGGTACCCGGTTGCGACCTCTGGTGTACGGACGGTTCGGCTTTCACGATCCATAACTTTCGTATGAAACTAAACTCTGCCCACAGATTCGACAATTGCACGATGACCTTTGGCACTTCTGGTAGAATGTCTATGTGTAGCCATTGGCCTGTATGAACGTCTAATTGGAAACAGCGTAATTTGTCCCTTAACTTCTTTTGCCGGAATTGCTTTGCCAGTCACTGCCTTTTGCTTTCAACCTGACCATTGCCCTTGGCGTTTTCTGTGGGGAGTTTTTTGTTTGTGTGTTTTGGTACGCGTGCTATAATTCAGTGGGAGGAAAAGTGTTTGCTACTCTCAGTATGCCACCCACAAACTGTGTGTGAAGTGTGTATCGGCTCGTAGTTGGGGGAGATGTGCCCATCAGCTTTTCATAGCCCTGTGCCTCTGCCTCCTGTCCAATAGGCCTCTGGTGCAGTTGCACAGCCTGCACACTCGATAGCGTTGCCACTTGCTCATTGAAAATCCACTTGATTGTCACTCGCGTGCGTATCATTGGTCAGGCTTACTATTGCTCCCAATGTTTAATTTGCATGTGGTTTAAAGACATTTGTTAAAACCCACACACCCCGCTGTGTGGGCCCTGTGTGGAACATGTTGGGCTATAGGTTGACTGCCACTCTTGCTGGTGTATGTACATATTCATCTTTGATTACCAAGGGCACAGAGGCCACCAAATGCCGCTTTGACTCTATCGATGTGATTTAGAGAGAGCGAGAGGAGAGATAAATATAGCACACTGGGAAGCAGCCATGGAAGGTTATGTTATTTAGCCTTGTATATTGTTTGTAATGTACCAAATAAGAACACGAATGAACAAACCAACATTTATCTCAAGAGTATTTACCCATAAAGAAAGCCTATAGAGAATGTTGCTCGCGATTCACTTTGTGGCGTACGTTACTATCTTTTCGTTGTTCATTTATCGTGTAACCAAAACTATATTGCCATATTGATACACACGCATAAACACGGCGGAATGCGTAATGATGTTATGTCTCGCTGGTGGTCTATAAACACAGCTCTTGCACGGCCTATTAAGTGGTTCTTTTTAAAACAAGACGACTGACGCTTTCCTACGGACGATCACTCCAACGGCGTGTGCTAACATCAGTATGGAACCCTATGTCCGTGATGCAGTCATGTTTAGTCTGTTGATGGTCGGCGATGCGGCAATCGACTCATCTCGACGAGCTGTACATGATGCACCACTACGGTGCGTACGGACGTTCAGGGTTTCAGGCGCAATCTTCCCCGCTGCGTTTCGACGTCGCGGAGTAGCACTGATTTCGGATTGATTGGTACCCCAGTCGCGGAGTGAAGTACACCCCTGGAGAAAAATAGTGTCACAGAAATAAAATATTTTATTGCCTCGACCCATTTTGTATTATTTGGTACCCCGGGGTCCCACCATAAGGATCATATAGCGACCAGGAGACTCGGAGGACAATGGGGTAGAACGAAGGCTTTCGCGACCAATATTAACCATAATACAGGTTTTTTTGTTTGGGTTATATCGCTTAAATATAAATGCGTCGTTAAACCCGCCACCACCCGACACAGCCAATTAGTAAGGTTTGTCACGTAGACAGAACAGATTTGGCATGTTCTGTTTACGTGACAATCCTCGCTAACCAGGCTGTGTTAGGGTGGAGGCGGGGTTAACGACACATTTATATTTACGCGATCTCACCCCAACCCCCCTGTATTATGGGGTATAACGAGATCGTTTTTTTACCTTAAAAATGTTGAATCTTGATTTGAAAAAAAAAAATCAATCTTGATTTGAAAAAAAAAATTCAATCTTGATTTGAAAAAAAATTTCACCACTCGGAGGCGCTGTCACACTAAATCCCTTTCGCTGTACGATAAATACAACAAATTGCCACATTCGGCAGTAACACCCGCCTTGAAAAGAAGAATGTAAAATAGGCGACGTTTTGGGCATCTTCAAAGTCCACGTGTATGCATGTCGAACTCCTTTCGCACCGCACGTAGCCAACCGTGCTACGCTAATCGGAGGTGCGGGGGAACGACCGCAAACCAAAGAAAAAAAAAACTAGTTGTACATGCGATGCAATGTGGATTTATACGGCGTAGAAATGCCTCCGAATCTCCAAGACGTACAGAAACCGTGGGATGCGGTTTAGTTTATTTTGTAAAGAGATAGAGAGGCGGTCGGGAATGGGCACAGAAGCGGGAGGTCTTCATCCTCTCGGTTTGAACAAGGGTGCAGGGGAACTACAGCACGTGTTGGGGCGGGGGGGAGAATTGGGTTCAAGACAACGGAGGGAGCAGCAGAGGAGAATGAGCGACCTTTGCTCGAGCTCAGCCACTCATTCGCGTGACAGGTATAAATGTAAGTCGATCTCATGTTGGGTTCGAATCGTTATAATCCCGGTTACATGCGGCCAACGAAAATGACACGTTGTGGTTTTGCGCCGTAAAAACAGAACCGCAGAAATGTGACATGTCACACTTCTCGCCACTGGGTTGCGCTCTTTACTTTAAAAAAATTCGCATTTGAATTTCTGTCGTATGACGGGAGTAACACAAACAGTACTGCAATGCGATGTCTAGTTCAGCGATCCACTCAATTCCAGATGGAATCGTGGGAAGGCAAAATTCACAGACGGTCAAAGGTGTTTGACAAAATACATTTCAAATGCACTTGCACGCACTTAAATTCTGGCGTATTTGACACGAATCACATTCTGGCAACACAAATGTGCCATTTTACACGAGCACATATACCACTCAATACAATCACCTCACATTGCGTGGCCTTAAAAAGAACAATATTTAAAAGGTGACGTTTCAGGCAATGACCCTTGACAGCACATCGAGGCTAGAGAGGGAGTGGATATGAGTCGGCGACTGCACAGTTACTGTACGCCACTGGGGCCTGATGAGAATGAATGTTATTAAAATATATTGATACGCTCCCGTCTGAATGTACGAAATCTACTTTCACTATTTTCCAGCATATTTCATTAACATTCCACCAAAATAAGCCAAACGTCGGTGTTTGCAAAATATTTTCGGGATGCGAAATTTCAGATTTTTATGACAAAAAACACATTCCTGCGGAGGGAGCTGGTAGGAACGTTGGGTTGCTCGGTCAATGGCCAGGGTCAACGGCGGCGTGGGGTATTCCGCAAATATGGCCGACTGAGGGTGGGCACAAGCCGGCGTGAGTAGGTTAAACGTTGAGTTTTATAAGGGCACCACGGGGTGACCAGCCCCTCCCCACCCAGCCCCACCCTCCCCACCCAGCCCCTCCCCACCCTCCCCTCTCCACCCAGCCCCACCGCTCCCATTTTTGGATGCACGACGGACGGACGGACACAATAATCCCCTGTGGGCTGGTGAAACCAGGTGGTTCCTGCCAGTATAACCTGTTGAATGTTGAATCGACGCTCGTAAGTTGGGTTTGAATCTTTCGTGCATCAATGACGCTGCCACATTCCAACCTCATCACCCGCAACGCACCCGATTCTCGATCTCAGAAGGCTGCGAAGTCACGTGGTGAGCAGCAGAGGGCAGTGCAGCAAAAGCCAATGTTGTACTGTACTTCTATCGTTCTATGCTCACCGAACCGCACTATACTTCACCACACCACCGGCGGTGTGAAGTATTGTTAAATAGCCCCCACAAAACGCACCAGAGTCTGCTTAGTGTCAACACGCGCGGTGTATGAATCGCTGATTGGCACCCTTTAGACGCTACTGCGACTCACGCCTTTGAGTTTCGGGCTTTATTGTTATTCCGTTTGTGAACACACGAGCCTCGCCGAGTCCCAGGACTCACCTTTCAAGAAGGTATTTGGCGAATGTTCACCTAAGTTGCGATGTTGTTACGTATAATCCTAATTGAGTAATGTTAAGGTATGTTTTTTTTTGCTTTGAGATGATTTTGTGTGGTTTGGGCTATTGGCAGGAAACTGGAGAATCCAGAGGAAACCCGCGCTGAACAGGGGAAGAATACAGAAACCATACTCTTAGGTTTTTTTCGGTAAAGTCACGTAGGTAAAAAATAATGATAAAATAATAATAAATTAAATAATTAGATTTCGATTTAAAGCTTTCGTGACTGCAGGGATTCATCTTCTTGGTTCTTTCGGTAAAGTCACGTAGAAGGGAAGTAATAAAATAATAAAAATAAAACATAATAAAACAATTCTCACGACGTTTCGGCCACAACGCCTGGTTTTCACCTGAGGACGGCTGCTTGCGTTGTGGCCGAAACGTCGTGAGAATTGTTTTATTATGTTTTATTTTTATTATTTTATTACTTCCCTTCTACGTGACTTTACCGAAAGAACCAAGAAGTTAAATAATTAGCTTTTTTTATTTTTTACCTACGTGACTTTACTGAAAAAAACCTAAGAGTATGAATCATTGCAGTCACGAAAGCTTCAAATCTAGAATACAGAAACCAACCAGACAGAAAGGCACCCCAGTCTGGAATCAAACCCAGGTTCTTGCTCCGAGGCACTGGGCCACCCTCTAAACCGGCCAATGGCGCAGTTTATGCCGGTAACACCAGCTCGGTTTGTGCAGACTCGGTAGAGCCTCGGGGTTCGTAAAACCATAGTTTAAGTACCGGCCAGAGTCCACTTTTAACGTTATTTATTTCACACCATTGGAACCTCATTTGCCAGTAGAAAAATATGATAATTATTTTTTTACCCTTTCATCTGGCAACAAAATAAAGGTGTCAGTTTTGTTGCCAGATAAAAGGGTAAAAACCCAATTATCATATATTTCTACTGGTAAATGAGGTTCCAATGGTGTAAATGTTTACTCCGAGCTCTCATACTCTGATAGTGCATTGTCTTTGAGTTGTGCGCCTTTTGGCGTCATCTGGTCCAACACCATGTGAGACTAGGCTCTAAGAAAAGCTGTCTCGGGTGTGGACCAATCAATTTCAAGGACAGTGCATACATTATCAGAGTTATGTTTTTTGTTTGCATTATGGCTACAGGTATTGTGGTCTATGCAAACATGACTCCTCGTAAAAAAGGTGTCAGTTTTGTTGCCAGATAGAAGGGTAAAAAAACAATAATCGTAATTTATTTCGTCAAGGGATCCTCACCGAGTACTTTATCAGTAAGATCTTGCCGCGTGAGGATGTTTGGCGAATTCGATAAATTCGTGTTTTGCACGTGAGAGGACATCAGTGAACCAGGATTTCCTTTTTTAAACACCGCACAGGCGGATTCACAAAGCCACTGCCTGTGACGATATCTGCTGGCGACCTCGCACATCTTTACGTGATCCACCAATCCTCACCTCTTCATGGCTGGACCACAAGCGATCATATTAGTCGGCACTTCAGCCTCGAGATGTGCCCTGAAAACCCACCTGGACACGTCTTCAAATCGACATTCGAAGGTTCGTGAACAGGTATTGTTCAGGGGTGGGGAGAGATGGAAGAGGTAGGAGGAGACGGATAACGGCAGGAGGTGCAGTAGTAGGCGGCAATGGTAGGAGATGCGACGGTCGAGGAGATGGGATGAGGGGTGGGAGATGCAATGTTGGAGGAGATGCACGGAAGGCTGTAGGGGACGGGTGATGTGGGAGAGTAATGGTCGGAGGGGGGGGGGGTTCATCAGGCGGCGGTGGTGATGGTGGGAATTTGTTCACGAGAGAAGAGAGGAGGGGGAGCGAAGGGGGGAGGGGTGAAAAGGGGGGAGGGGTGAAAAGGGGGGAGGGGTGAAAAGGGGGAACCGCGTCACACGGAGTCAAATCGAGCTGCGAGGAGGAATCATCTCAGTATCTTCTCTCTCATCAGCCAGAGAGGAGCTCCCGCACAGAGTCGCCACGCTCCCTCCCTCCATGAGCGCGGCACAAGCTAGCGACTCGCCCACTCAGACACGCGCGTGACGCGATCCCGTGAAGAAACACGCACACGCCGTGAAGAACACACACCACACAGCAGCAAGCGTTGCCAACGTCCGCATCACCGTTCACTGCTGCCTCCACGCCTGCTGGTGCTACTTGCTTGTTGCTGGTGGTGGTGCCTAACAGAGCCCTTGCCCCCAACATCCTGAGCGAGGCTACTCGTCTTGGAAGGAGTAGTAGTGGTGGTGGTGGTGGAATCTTTGTGTTCGTGTGGCTGGGCCAACTCCACAAACAAATCCGTGGCAGAGTCCGTGTGTGGCTGGAGTTGGCCATGATGGATCTGGGACGCGGTGGCGCTTCGCTGGGGCTCTGCTCGCTCTGCCTGTGGTGTCTCCTCGCCTGCACCGCGCCTGCTCCTGGGTGCAAAGGGGACGGAATCCCGCGCGGTGAGTGTGAGCGGTGGCTCCGTGAGCCCTGCAAGGAGGAGGTGGGGGTTGTCTTACGCATGCAACCAACGCCGGTGGCAGTTTTTCTGAACCGGTCCTGGGCCTCTGCCTCTCTCTCTCCCCCCCCCCTAGGTCGACTCGGCCTTAAATGATTACCTCGTGCGCGGTTGTGTAAGCATCGCAGCTAGAGAGACAAAGGCGGCCGGGCGTGGTGCTGGCCACCCCACCCCCCCCCTCGTGTTCCGTGCCGGTCTTCATCGGTGCTACTCGCTAACGGCACTTGCCCCAACAGCCTGTTACAGGCTATACGGGGGATCTTTGTGTCTTTGGATACAAAGGCGGCCGGGCGTGGTCGGTGTTTGCCACACCACCACATTCGTCAGCCGTTGCGACTTTCGTAGATGCTCGCAAAGAGCACGCGTCTCAACAAGCCTATGGAGGCTACACGGGGGAGCTTTGTCTTTGTGCGCGAGTGTGTCTTGGTATTCACGGAGTAGGGAAACACAAAAGCCCTACAGACTGCTGTCGTAAATGCTGTTAGCGAGCACCGATTTGTTGTGCGTGGCCAGACCCAAGACCCCACCGCCGTCTTTGTCTCTCCAACGTTCACGGCTAAACGTCACTTGAACATCCGAATCTGTTCTGGATCTCCCCATACACTGACTCTGCTTCAAATTAATAGAATGCTGCAAGCTGGGGGGGGGGGGTGTGCGAAACGTCGGCATTGGGGAGACAAAGACAGCCGGGTGTGGTTGCTAATCGCCAAACCATCCTCTCCCCCCCGCCCCCTGCGTCTAGCGCCGTCCCAGCTCCTTAATAGGTGCTCGCTAACTGTGTCCACACCGACAATATGTGGGCTCGACCTGGCGGCGGGGGCTGGGTGATTCTTCGTCTTCGTATTTTCCCTTTGCCCGACTGCAAATCTCTGCGTCGATCGGTCAAATGTTGATGTCTACGCCTGCGAGGTTTCGTGCACAATCCCGACAAGGAGTGCATACCTGTGGTCTGTAAAGTTATGACATCGTTGGGGTTCTGCACGTACGCATTCGTTAAGTCAATGTAAAAAAAAACCCTACGTGTTACACGTCTATGCACGTGTACGCATGGAAACTCTGTGTTATACTCTCCACGTACCATATAAAGTGCATGTACACACCTGTAAACTCTGCTATGTCTAATAACACGCCTAAACTGTGCATGCGTAAACCCCGATGCCTGTACATGTACCCACAGCTCTCAACCCATACAGTTTACCCCGTATTCTTGTACAGGGAAATTGAGGTTTTAGGTCCATACGGCGTACAGACGTTTCGATACGGTAAAATATATATATATAGGTTGCGTCTATTTGTTTGTGTTTCTCCCTTGTGATGATGGGACTTTGTAGGATAGACGTTGAGATTTTTAAGGGGCACTTTATGACCAATCATTGTCTGAATTGGTCTGTGATAAGGTAGGGCACTGATAAGGGGGTTGACAGGTTTGTGTGTACCCACGCTGTACCCCACCAAACTCGACTTACTTGGTAGATAAGAGGGGATGGGGGGGGGGGGGCTATTTAACACCCCCTCCCCCATCGTTTAAACAGCCGCGTGCGAGAGATGGGATCGAACCTGCGCGCTCTGGATTGCAACTGCACTCGTTGATGACCCATGCACATCACTGTGGCATCTGCCTTCGTTTTTCAGTAATAAAAAAACAATCTACAACGTTACGTTTATTGCTGGAGACATTTCCACGTGTGTGGCAAACCGGTAACCGGTTTTTATTACTGGTATACCCCCCCCCCCCATGCGGTTTTACTGGTAATGCAAAGACCCAGATTGTAACAGCTGTTGAAGACAATGGATGAATCACTGTACCACACTCGGTAAAGTTACGTCGGCATAAATGACGTCACGCGATTTTTGACGATTTTTTACCCCCCCCCCCTCGTCACACGGCGTCACAAAAAGTCAGACCCCCCCCGTCAAATATGACGTCACAAGCCTCTGCCCCCCCCCCCCCCACAAACTAAAATATGCTTCAAATCGCTTTAAACTATTGTCATTGTAGTGCGCATTTAATGTGGCGCTGCACTGATGTTGTAGGAGAAAATATTTATTAAAAAGTATTTTAATTAAGTAGAACGTGTATATTTACTAAAAGTTGCGCATTTTGATGTGACGTCACATTTTTCAAACCCCCCCCCCCCTCGTCGCACATCGTCACAAATATCTGACCCCCCCCAGGTGCGTGACGTCATTTATGGACGGCCCCTAACCTGCCCCTTTACCCACACACATCGAATAGTGCAGCCTTAGTTGATGATGCAGGAGTACACAATTTATCGACCATGGAAAAATAATGATGATGGTTGTGCTTCTAGTGCTGCTGCTCATGGTGTTGCTGCTTGTGATGCTGATGCTGCTGTTGCCGATGATGGCGATGATTAGGGTGGAAGCCGTGATGTAACCTAGCCAGCAAGTTGAAGGTTACTTCATCCAAAATAAATACCGCATGCAGTTAAAAATTAAAACCCGAGACGCAGACATACCACATACACTGTGTACACATTACGAGGTTGCGTCTTAGACGATTACGGCCTTTGCCTTAACAAAACAGAGGAATGTTTTGTTATCACGAAGAGCCATGGCGCATGTATAGGCTTCTCGTTTTGACTCGTTTTGCCTTTTGGGCCAAGACCGGCCCCCATCACCGTTATCTGCTCGCAGTGCCTCTCTCCACTCGTGCGCGGTCCGTCGCTGCGTCCTTTTCAACGTTGACACGGCATCCCTCCAGTCTGGTGGCTTGACCTTCGAGGTCAGGGTCGGACCGCGTGGTCTTTCTCTCGACCCTGGCACCTTCCAGCGGGTTCTCGACCCCCCCCCCCCCTATCAATCGGTGACCCCCGACCAACCGGTCACCTTTCGATTTAAAACTTTCGTGACTGCAGGGATTCATCTTCTTGGTTCTTTCGGTAAAGTCACGTAGAATGGAAATAATAAAATAATAAAATAAAACATAATAAGATAATTCTCACCTGAGGACGGCTGCTTGCGTTGTGGCCGAAACGTCGTGAGAATTATCTTATTATGTTTTATTTTTTTATTTCCATTCTACGTGACGTTACCGAAAGAACCAAGAAGACCAACCGGTCACCGTTCATCCCTGGCCGCGCGCGCCACGTCCACAACGTAGCGGCCGGCGGCTTCCACTCCTCCGAGCTGAAATTGGGTGGCCTTGATTCTTCGCCTCTTCGTCCCAGGGCAATGCTTGCGTCTTGTTGTTGCGTGCGTCGGCAAGGGCCCGCCCGGAAGTTCCTGGAGGTCCCCCCGGAGCTGGGGGCCTGGACGAAGAACGCCACGTTGGTTGGGAGGGGTGGGGGGCGGGGGAGCCCCCTTAAATTGTAACATATAACAGGGTCCCGTTGTTGGAGAGGGTCCTTGTTTGTGTGAGGCCCAGGGCAAACTACCCCCCACCCCTATCAGCCACCGCCTCTGAGTGGCTGGTGTGTATCGATTTAAGGAGCTTTAGAAAAAAATGTTAAACGAGCAAAACCAAACATCAAGACGTGAAGGGGTTAAGTTTCCACATGTAACTTGAATACTGCTTTAGTAGGACTCAAAGCAACCAGGCGCGATGGAAGCCCGGGAGTTTGTCTGTGTGTGTATATTCACACGAGTGTGTTTGTGTATATGCCCTGAGTGTGTATTTGTATGTGAGTGTGTGGGTGTGTGCGGTGCATCCATACGTGGCGAGCGGTGGCGCGGTGGTTGGCGCTCCGTGCCACGAACCAAGCGACTCGATTTGTTTTTCCACATCACGCCCCCTCGTACGCCGTCGCGGGCTTGATGCGTGCTCGCCAACAGCACTTGTCTCAACAGCTTGTGTAGGCTACACGGCGAATCTTTGTCTTGTGTGCGTGCGTAATGGTGGTGGTGGTGAGCCGTGGGTGCGGTGGTTAAGCGCACGGCACTTCGAACCCAGCTGTCTGAGTTTGATTCCCGACGTCGGGAGAAAACGACACGAGTACACGTGCCCCACGAATATTTATTTGTCCAGGCCCAGGAATATTTGTTACCCCGAGGGAAGCGAACTATTGGTTCCGCTTCCGAATATTTTGTACCCTCATTATTTATTTTGTAACAAGGCAAACATTCTTCGCACGTAAGGCCTCCCCGTACGTCAACACATTTTATTCTGAAACAAACACCTTCATTTTGAAGAACCACTTTGCAAACGTGTTTGTGAAACACTTTGTGAGCTTGCTTTCATTATCGTTTTACCAACCCAAACCCTACTTGTTACCCCTACCACCCCCTAACCCCTACCCAAAGCTCTAGTCCCTTAACCCGAATCCTAAGCTTAACTTCTAAACCTAAACATAACCACGAACACGAACCCACGTCCTAAACCCAACCGCTAAGCTCTAAAACCTTCACCCTAAACAATTTCCCCTACCCCAATGCCTAACCTGAAGCTCTAACCCCTAAACTCTATCCCTAACCCAAAATCCTTAACTCTAATTCCTAACCCTAAAGTCTAACCCGTGACCTTACCTTAACCTCTGTATCTATATCTACCCCCCAAGTTAGACGTTAGGTCTGTCTGCCAGGTTTGAGGGGCCTGGGGGGGGGAGTTATTCAACCGTTCGTTCACTTTTTGGTGCATTATGGCTGACCACCGAGCAGCCCAAGCCTGCCACACCGATATTCCCAGGCAGCCTGCCCATCCGGGTGCTCACCAGGCTCAAAAATGCTGCTTGGCTTCCGATATTGCACCTCCGATGTAGCACGGTTGGCTACGTACGGCGCGAAAGAAGTTTGACATACGTACGGACATGCATGCGGCCAGCACGACGTGGTCAGCGGCGTTCAAAGAACACGTCCGGTTTTTTTGTCTCGATTTTAAACGCTGCTCCTTGAGAACACGTTTTTAAGAAAAATGATCTCGGCCGTACCGTATCCCATCTCCACCGTACCGCATCCAATCTCCACCGTACCGCGTCTCCAATCGTA